ATGTACGGAGGGGGCAGGGGTTTCTGATAGCTAGGTTTAATAGACGAGGCCTTCAAACAATTATTTGTGTATTGATTTGTTTTTTAATCAAGATTCACTGATCAAAATAATTGATTTTGAGTTAGAATTACATCCTATATGACATCGTAAGGGGTGTAGAGAATGCAAGATTTTAATATTTACCAAAACATAATTAGTTGTAGTTTCCTAAATGAGCTGCTTATACATATACAGTATAATGCAAAAGTCATTTATTCAATTTATAGTCAAAATGGCCACTCATTAGTAGTTATTTACTTTCAGCATCAGAAAAAAAATGCGAGTGGATTATGTCATATCTAATCTCAGAAATATCTCCTGAAAAATGAATAACTTGCATTTAATAGCTGTTTTGACTGGAAATAAAATAAATGAAAGGTCGTCTCTGACATTTGCACGGTACAATATAAATGATACAATCATAAAGTTGAACAAACTATCTTTATTGCAATTGTTAGTGCAAAATATTCACAACATTTATCTTACAATATGTCTAAAGACAAAATATGACACAATGACCAACATAGATATAGTTGGTCAAAACTGTAGGATATAATATAACTGATGGATCCAAAGAGCTAAAGTCTACATTTTCACATTTTTACAAAATTTTATCTGTTAACAGACAACTAGAATCTTTGGCTTCGTCATTGCTTCTTCACTGAAACCATGAAGTGTGCATTTATGGAAGGACTTCTGCAATCGTACAAGTATTATTGGCCATAAAAATGAGCTCAAGAAATATGCAGCATGATAAAAGATTGAATTACATACATTTTTAATACACAATTACCTCATAATTAAGCATCATTCCCATTGGGCCATTATAGAAGTATAAAAATCATGACAGATTTGCTCTTCTCAGTGTAGTTCATGGCATCTTAAGCATCTTTGATAACGTCAATTCAATCAAAATACTCATTTAAGTTATAAGAATCACCTGAGCATGTTGTTTAGTCCAGCTTTACATGGGTACCACTAAGCTATAATAAAAATATCACTGATTTTTCAAAGTTACTGCATAATTCGGTAGTTGAGGTGTAAACAAAGCCATTCGGCGTGGTTTGATGTGAAATGGTTCATTGTAGAGAAACATACAGACTCAAACCATTTTTTAATAGATTTTAGCCCAAAAGCTTAGTTCAGAATTATTAGAATACAATTTCTCAGGCATCAGGCAGTGCATTCATGATCATTTTGTGTAATAACTGTCTGTAAGGGAGCTTTTAGAGGCATTAAGCTCTTCAAATGTCTGGTTCCTATTACCACCACTGTCAAACAATGCAAACCAGTGGAGCATTTCACATCAAACCACTCTGAATGATTCTTTTAATTATGTAGAGATTTTGGAAAATCAGTGGAGATGCACCTTTAACTGAGTAAAACGATGATGTCAGGAAAATACAGGAGTACAACTTTGCTTTTATCTTGGAGATCTTACAGTTGCAGAGTCTCATGGCCAGTACACAGCAGTGATGTCTATTAGTCAAGACTTTGTCTGTTCGTTTTAGAGTTTTAGACAAAGACAGGCGATCAATAATGCGGAGCGATGAATGAACAGTGGGGGGTGTCACACTAAGCGACTCTCTTTCCACGTCTCCACACGCACTCGCTATGACAGCTACACAATTGGTTGATGACCTCATACTCTGCAACAACTTCTGGTGGCCTAAGCGAATTTCTTCAAAACAGAGTTGAATCAATGCTTTAACAGACAAAACATCAATGTTGGAGACACGTCACAGCTTGACATACAGAATCCTCAGCTTTTCATTTTCATTTTTTATTTAGCATCGCTTTTTAATCTAGCATAGGTGCTTTAGACCGTAATAATAAATGTGCCACTAAGGGTTGTTCTTAGCGATGCCATAGCAGAACCAATTTTGATTGACCTTTTAATGGATGTTTCTTCAAAGAAGCATTTCATACATGAGAACCTTTTCTAAGCTTAAAGAATCTCAACATAATGTAAAGGTTCTATAACAGTTAAAGGGGAATTTTAATTATTTTTCCTATTGTTCAAAAAAATTGCATAATAAAACAGTTAAGATGTGAACAAAGTCATTCAATGTGATTTGATGTCAACTGCACTGTTCTAGACAAATTTACAGAGTCGAAATTTTTTACAGTGGTGGTGATGGGAACCAGACGTCCAAAGCGTCTAAAAGCTCCCTCACAGAAGGCTATCAATGAAGTGCTTATGAATATGCTGCCTGATGTATGAGGCATTGTTTTATGATAGTTGTGAGACAAGCTTTTTGTATAAAATGTATTTTTCATTCATGGTGGGAATGAATGGAACAGACAGGGTGATTTTACCATTATCATTATATTGCAGGGGGACATTGCAACCCCTGGTTCCTGTTACCACCACTGTAAAGAAATCATAGTCTATGAGTTTCTCTACACTGAACCATTTCACCTCAAACCACTCTGAATGACTCTGTTTACATCTTGATTATTGAATTATGCATAAACTTTTCAAAAAAGGTGGAATTCCTTTTTTAATAGTTTTCCTGCCAAGAACCATTTGGGAATCTTTATGTTTAAGAATGTATGTATTTCTATCCATCAGGGCCTAATTAATCATGCCCTGATCTAACCTGTTGTAATTGGATGGGGTTGTCTCCTGCCATGGCTTAAAACAGTCACTGTCTCTTTCCAAGTGTTATGTAGAGGACACATTCCCTGACCACTGCTTAAAGAAAGCAGTGACACAACCGTCTGGCAGCCTTCAGAAGGCTACACGACACCTGTATAAGCCCTTCATGGCAACTGCACAAACATTTATAAACACGTGGGCACACTAAAAGGCATTATTTGTCATAAAGGTTGCATTTGCCAGATTTGATGTCAAGTTGACACAACATCTAAGTTAGGTGATTGTTTTCTTTTTCTGACATTATGTTGTTGTGAAACTTTCTTGGGCAAAATGGCATTGGATAAATCTCTGCTATGTTTTAGTGACATAATGCTTATAATATAACATAGCTTGCCAGGCTGGTTGAACAAATCTGAGTTTCATGTAGCCATTTATAAGATTTAACCTATGTCACATCTTCAAAATGATGTCACTGTAATGTATGCTAAGATGTAGTCATTTATTTTGTTTATTTCACATTTTATTTTTTCCAGTTGTCGAAACTGTAAACTTGGTCAAACGCCTATGAGCACAGCCATTGTACAGTCAAGATGGCTGTAGTAGGCTGAACCGACACATCACAGCATTTAAAAACACTACATTAAAATGAACATTTCATAAAATTTCATTTACAAACTCTGGTGCCATAACATGTCACCCACTTGTAGATGTTTCCGTTAGTTTTCAAAGGATTTTGAACTGTGCATGAGGGCTGCATCATTGGCTCCCGGGCCACTGAATGCTATCTTTTTATTGGCTGCCTACCGAAACATTTGCATGAGTTAGGTTGTGCTTCATGTAAATCATATGTAAATGAGAAACTGATAGGTGAGCGCTTGATTTCACGCACTGAATCCGTTTCATATTTTCTGTTGAACTCTCGCTTGTTTCCATAATTTCATGACTCAAGACATAATGAAGTTTGTACGTAGGGCCAATGCCTTTTGGACTAAGGCTTTACAAATGTTTAAGCAAGTTGTAATGACAAGCTTATGTTGGTGTCATTAGCGCTTTGTACACTGCCCTATAGAAAAGTGTTACCATATTTATATTGATAACACCAAAGATGCTACTCAAAAAGTGCATGCAGAACATGTAGAAAGACAGTTACTCTGAATCACAGACAGTGATGTAATGCAACATTCCCAATCTTAGCTAGGATCATTATTTATTAGTTAGCCAAATGGATCCATAATATTTTGAAAAATTAAAAGTTTAGACTAGAATAATAATATGAACTGCCATATGTGAGATGCTAGCCAATAAGGACACCTGATGGTGACTTGAGGACGAGCATTAACCTGTATAAAAGCAGTTGCTGAGGCGTTAAATCTGCCCAATTTAGCCACCATGCCAGACCAGATACCTGATCCCATGAGCTGCCTTTAACATATGGGTAGAGGTTCCTGGCAGTGACCAAAGAAGAAGATCAGCTCAGAAAAGGAGCTCAGCAACTTCACAGCTGTAGACTGCCTTCCAAGAATTCCTTGTTTCTTAGAAAGTCAAAGTGTCTGTTGTCATGTCTCAAAGTGAAGGTTGTAGCCGAGGTAGGAGACACCTTGGTATACAAAGGTGTCTTCTCAGTGCCCACTCACATACAGGCAAGACGGCTGTATTAGGCTGAACTGACACATCACAGCATTTAAAAACACAACATTAAAATGAACATTTCATAAAATGTCATTTACAAGCTCTGGTGCCATAACATGTCACCCACTTGTGGATGTTTCCATTAGTTTTCAAAGGATTTTGAACTGTGCATGAGGGCGGCATCCTTGGCTTTGGGACACGGCATATGCAGATGTTGGTATAGCAATACTGGGTAAGACTACTGTTCTCCACATGCCAGACTTAGGTTTGATCACCTGTAAGAGTCCTTGGGCAAGACTCCTAACATAACATGATTCAATTTGTCATTCACTTTAGAGTGCTTCCCAAATGCTATAAATGTATATAGTGTGAAATGCTTGTAGTTTAATAGAACCTCCAGATTCTGGTTTCTGAAATGCTTGAGGTCCTCAGTATTCTTTCCTTAGTACAGTCAAAGACAGTACAAATTGATTTGTACCAAGATATTGCTACTCTAATGATGACAGGTAACACTTCAGTCCATGAGCTTCAAAAAGCAACAGCTGAGTTTCATCAAGATGTGCAGACGTTTCTGGGTTTTGCTGTCGATGTTGACCAGTGCTTTAGAATGAAGTTCCTCAAAAGATCTCCCACATCCAGTGCTGATCATAGTTGTCCTTGCACAGTTCTTACCGATTCTTTGACTCTTTACACTGTTTAATTTTTCCAACCTTACAATCCCATCCTTGCATCACATGGGTTGCCAGGTTTTGTCCATTGACTGAATGTGTTCCTTGGCCTTCATTCTCAGAGCAGCGATGCTGGAACTGCGATCCACGTCCTCTAGTGGGTATTTGTCGTTGAATGCTGGTGGGCACTGATATGGTGGAGGTGGCATGGGCTGCATGCCCTGGACCATGCCTGGAGATGAGTTGAGGAATCCTGGGTGGCTGGGGTAAGCAGGCTGCATGCTTTGACCTGGGCCCATGAAGCCTGGGATGCTGTGCATGGGAGTGGCGCTAGAAAGTGGTGATGATAACCAGGGATCTAAGGGCAAGGAGTTGCTCATTGGCCCCACGTTGGAGGGCATCGGAGGCCGGTTGAATGACAGCATGGGCGAGTCATGTAGTTTCATGCTGCTGGTGTCCATCTTCTCCTGGCGCCGCCATTTTGCACGTCGATTCTGGAACCACACCTAGGAATAGATCCATAAGGAGATGTATGGTTAGAAGTAAAGGACATATGGTTGTGTGGTTTGGGGAAAACCTGGTGCAGACCCTTTACATTATGTGGAGGTTCTGAGGTTCTTCTGAGGTTCTCTCTCTTCCCCTGTCATCCCTCATTGCTCGCTAGCAGCTCAACATTGAGTCCTAACTTTCAAACATTACAGGGTAAAATATTCTATTTTATTGAAGTATTTATTAAATTTCCAAATTCAAAAATAGTTCTTCAAAAGTACCATCCTTTGAAAGGTTCTTAAGGGAACATAAAGTGTATCTTCTATGGCACTGCTACAAGGTGCTCTTTTTGGATCCTTTTTGGTAAGAGTATAGATTGGGCGGAAGTTTACTGTGTACTGAAATGTCAATGTATAATTGTATAAATAAAGGTCTCAATTGAGACTTTCCTTCTTATTCCCAAGCACCTTTAACACCACCTAACTGGGATTTCAGTATATTCAAAAGTTGGCAAGTTTCTTTTGGATGCTAAAAGTAGTTCTTCTGTAGATTTGCTCCAAAGAACAATGTTTGGGCTCCTTTACCTTTAAGAGCATAGTGAAGATTTCCGCTGGGCAGTACTTGCTAAAGATTAAAGGAGTGGTCCTGACTGCAAATTACTAAAAGGATGGACAGGAAAGCCCCAAAGCCTCTGGATTAGGGGCCTCAAGGAGCCTTAAACAGTCAATTAAACAAAGCTCCTAGAACAAGGCCTCACTGTTTACACTACTCAATAGTCTTCCCATTAACACATTATCTCTACAGTTTAACACCATTATCTGGTGCTATTGGTTCTGTTCAACCTAAGCCCCATACAGAGAACCCCTATATCAACAATGTAATAAAATTAGCCGTGATTACTTGTACGTTTACCCAACAAAGAAATGACATTAACTCGACCAGCTTTTTTCTCCTTATAACCAATTATTATTACAAGCCTACCTGCACTCGCACTTCTGGGAGATTAACTTTCATGGCCAGCTCCTCCCGGCTGTAAACATCAGGGTAGTGGGATTTCTCAAAAGCGCGCTCCAGCTCATGCAGCTGGTAGGTGGTGAAGGTGGTGCGGTTGCGCCGGTGTTTCTTCTTGGGTTGGTCTTCCTCAGGAGGCTCAGGAGATCTGCTGTCACTCTCCACGCCTCCATGGTGAAGATCTCCAAGGTCGCCTTCACACTTATCACTGGAGAAGAGTCCTGTGTCTAGGAAGAGAAGGATTATAAATCAAGTCTTTTCAGAACAGCGCAGTTACTCATCCCCAACAAGCAATGATCTCATGAGCTCTTTAATTGAAACAGCATTGAGATACTTATTGTTGCTGTCATATCAAAATTTTGTTGCTCTCATAAACTTTCCCAGTGGATTTATGATGCATTTGCGTAAGGTATGCTGGGGATTGTATTGAAAGAACATTGATGGACAATAACACAAAAAAAGATATAAAACTGTGAATTCTGTCAAGCCGATGAAGCTGAAGGGATGCAGTGCTATTCTATTACATATTACATAACATGACACAACATATAAAAAGGTAGTTTTAGACTAGAATGCCCCTTTAATTTCATATTAGGTAGTGTTGACTGTGGAAAATATCAGGAAAAATTTAGTAACTTCTGTAATGTTGTAGCTGTGGCTGTATTTTATACGTTGCCTTGATCCTAAGAAGTTTGAAATTTAAGCATAAGCACAACAGTCAGCAAAGGCAATCACTTCACCTTAAGATCAGTCTAAAAGTATTTTGAAAGCTGGAAGAACCAAGAGATTTCAGCGACCATAAGTATGAACATAAGATAACCAAACTTGTAGCTGCAGCAAATTGACAGATCCTGGAGATCCCAACTGGGATGAAAAGGGATTCAAGTCCAAGTGTCTGGAATTTTCAACTCACTGTATGATTTACACTGTCATAGAGGCTCATTCACATTCAGTCTACTGTGCAAGAGGACACTGGTGTGTTCCATCACATTTTTCGCTCTGTGCAGCTACCCTCAGTAATCCCTGAACAGGCAAACAGATGTCACCTGTTAAACCTGTGAGGCCTCATGTGGCCCCGGCTGCTAATCCAACCGCCTTAAAACCTCCCTCAGCCTCTTTGTCTCCATGAAGGGGGGCCTGCTTGGCAAAAGCAGAGATTTTCATTTCAGGGAAACAGATAAGGAGCAAAGTGAGCCACATGTTATGGTGGGGGCCAATTGCAAATGAATCTAATTAAGTTAGGCTAGATTATCATCAGATCATTGATTCAGTGTAAGTGTGCACCAGCGTTAAATATCTCGCTGTTCGCAGCACTGTGGCTTTGGTAGTGGCAGGTGGAAGTCTCCATAAGGTTGGCTCTGGGATTACTGCCACAGTGTGTTTCCATGCTTCAGTTTTTCCAGTGTGGCCATTTTGTTGGCTTTAGCAAAAGCCAATGCCTACTTGTGCACAACTTTTCATTAAAGTTATGCTTTGATAATGGTAATAATATATGAAACATTTTTTTTTCACAGTAGTGAAATATTGTAGTGATATGCAAAGTTCCATATTGAGTTTATGTTCCACAAATCTCTTTGTATATAATATGACAGTCTTTTGGAAGAATATGTTATATCTGCCAAAAAAAGGCTCCTGCATGCCAAACACTCTGACTTAACCACCTTGCTATGCAGCTACATGCAAAGCACACAAAGGCTAGAACTGCTAGCCTGCAAAATACCTATAGGACCACGCACAGACACACACACATATCACTGTTGTCAGAACAAAACCTCATATCTCCAAAATAATAACTGTAGAGAAGAAGGAAAAAACTCTTGACTTTTAATGTAAGTCAATGGAAGCAGACTTTTTTTTTTTTTCCAAGTCATTTTGGGCCACTTCTTTTGGTCCATTCATTATGAAATTTACAAACAATGTAAAGGGCAACAGGTATGTATGTAAGAATATATATATATATATATATATATATATATATATATATATATATATATATATATATATGTACATATATATATATGTATATATATATATATATATATATATATATATACTGTGAGTGTTAAATGTAACACTTTCTCACTGTGTATATGGCACACCAATTTGAAGTAAGGTTATACTTGAAGTTATACTTGAAATATGAAGTGTTGGTATTTTACTCCACTGTAATTGTTAAAAATCTAACACTGTCACTTCCCTATAACACCAGACTCAACCAGTTTTGACAACTCTCTCTCTCTCTCTCTCTCTCTTTATTATCGCTTTATTAAACATTGCATTTGTCCATGTCCATATTGTACAACCCTACAACCCTACTGTACATTATGCAACATTATGCATTACGTAGGTTGTTAAATTATAGTGCATGCTGACAATGCTGTACTTTTATGCCATCAATATCAACCAAAAGTTTTTAAAGGTGAAGGCACCTCTCTTATTGAGTAGAACCCTCAACTATGCTAATAAATTTATGTCCATGCACTGCTTATTAGCTTATTGCCAAGGGCCAATGCTGACACTACATGTAAAAAGTCTAATAGCGACTGCTTTCCAGTGATGTTTGTCCTTTTTCTGGATTAGCCCATATCTAAATTAGACGTCAGCTAGTGTTTAAATCTGTAAGAGTCAGCCTCTAAGAACCCCTGTTAACGTCAGCACAGCTTTACACTCCATACAGCCTCCCACTAAGAGTTATGTAACAGAGTGTGGTGATGCACCTCAGAAGAGATGGTCTGTTGTAACTTTTTTTATTGCAACATTTTGTGATTGAGAATGCAGTAATTCTGTCCAGTGAATTCTTTTAACATAAATATTTTGATATTTAGAAAAAAAATGTGTTGGTACTGGCATAGTGAACTAAAATGAGGTTGAGTCCTTTGAATTCTTCCGTTCAGTTGATTTTCAAATCATTTCATAATAAAGACACATGTAATTATCAAATCCCCCGTTAAGCAATGAAACTATATTCCTAGCCTAGAATAGTGAGTTAAACTCAATAAAGGCCCATGATCACTGGCCCATGCTCAATAGTAGGTCAGCAAGGAGTAAACTGTTCTGTGTAGATACTTATCGAATTGCTGTTATAATTATTATGCAGAAATCACTGGACTTACACTTTTATAAAAATTCACCTGATTTTTTTTTTTATTTTAATTGATTCAAGTCTGTCCTTTAATGGTATCATTGAGATGTTCCTGATTAACCTCATAAAATATAAAGGCCCATATATGGGTCTAAATTCTGTATAGCTGCTATTGAGCCTACAATTGTTTAGCTCCATTTATGCTGAAGTTACAAGGAGTGTTTGAGACTGGATGTTTTCTGAATAAGCAGAGGCACAACACAGGGCAGCCAATCAGAATGTATATTAGTCTTAAAGATATATATCAGTCATGAAGGCATAGTAAAAACTGTCATGTAAAAATGAATTATCACATAAAACCACATAAATGCCATAAATGGGGGCAAAAAATTAAAACACATATAAGGTTTCCATACATGAATCCTTAATAGTTAAATAATAAGCTAAGTCTAAAGGTTGAAATGAAATAATTTCTCACCATGATAAGCAGACTGCTGGGAATTGTCCGACAAGCTGGGCAGGTGAGCATAGGGGTCAGAGGTCACCTGCTTTCCCTGTTCCACTAGATCACCTCCATCCACTTTATGGCTCCCCACAGGTCCCACAGGGTTGAGCAGGGGGTCCTGGTCTTTACTGAAGCCCAGAATGACGTCAATACTGTGGACTCGGCCCCCAACGCCTGAGCCCCCTCCTTTGCCCATGTCGTGGTAGTTGTCCGTCGAGAGGCAGCCATCGTCCGCCATGTTTATGGTATCCAGAGACAAATGCATTCGAACACACTCTTCGGGCACAGCTCCTCAGGACAGCAGAGTGGACCGTATGTCCAGACAAAGATCACTTATTTAAAGAAGAATCCAGTGTAATGAACTGAATGTTCAGTCAACAAAAAATGTAATTAGATAAAAATTCAGACTAGATGCAACAAGGAACCATCCTCTGAGAACTGACCACAAAGCTTGCTTCTTCAGTTTCCTGTTAGAAAAGAGAAAAGTGAATGAAATTATAAATTCGTGTCAATTAGAATTATGAAGTGACAACGCTCCATATGGTTTCATAGAAGAACCACATTTGGTTCCCTAAAGAGCATTTTCATAGATGATTGTTTGAAAAATAATTTTGTAAATAAAGTGTACAGGTGTGAAAAACTCTTTTAAAGTGTAAACAACCTCCACATAATGTAAAGGCTCACCTTTATTTTTAAGAGTGAAAAGTATCAGAGTGGCAATATTAGGGGACCAATCATTTCCACCATGAGCCTTGTTGCAGTTATAAGTCATTCATCATGATTGTTGATGAGGGATCTTCAAAGAAGATATTTGTCAGGTTTTGGACAGATAGACTTCAGTGTCTTTTCTGTCCATGAATAGTTATTCTTCTAGTACAAATACCAAGTTTTTAATCATTTCAAGCCCATGATTGCTAAGACTTTTATAGATGGCAACAAATAGAGTGCTTAGCTATCAAAAAAGCAACAATCTTTGCCTAATTAACTGTTGTGAATGAAGCTATCATGGACTTGAAGTTGCAAGCAGTATATGAAGAGTACATAAAAACTGTGTTATGTACAAATTCCTAACATTGATATACGTTAATATTTAAAGAATTTATTTCAAGTGATTTTGGACATTGCTTTGGGTCCAATCAACTCTTTTATACATTGTAGTATTTACACAGCAAATTATGTAGTGAATAATTCGCTGTGTAATTATTATATCTGCACATTTAGACAACCAACAAGCCTGTAATTTCACCACAACAGTTTCTTGTAACTGTGGAAAAGTTCTCAAAGTGATCAACAGGTATTTCTAGGATGGTGCTCAAAGTTGACTATGCATTTCAGTTCAGTCAATTAACTTTTTGTTCTTTTTTCTTCTTTTCAGGTTTTTAAGAAGTTATACTTGAATGACTTCTTAACAACCTGAGTAATTTTCACTTGCCTATTTTCAGTAAAAAAATGGTTAGTATTTATAGTTAAAAAGGTTTTTTGTACTTAAAAGGCATAAGTGATTCCAGAATTTACTAAAAACTAAAAACAATAAAAATAAAGCATGTCATACCTTTTCAACTCCTTAGACCATCCACATTTCAGCTTCTGCCTCTAGTCTCCGTCTCTGTACTAATGACGGTGAAGAGAGCAAGCAACTTTTTTTACTCGGGTGCCGCCTCCTTTGGCCGTTAGAAACTGTTAACGAGTGTTCTGTCACAATAGTGAACAAAAACCTCTCCAAAGCAAGCAGAAATGTCCCATCCCAAACAGCAAGGGCTGATAGGTCCTGATCTTTACGGCCGGGCCGTCCCAGCAGCACGCACGCCGACCGAGCACACGAGAGAATGGAGGTAAAAGGAAAAGACTTAAGAGGTTTATTAATTGGAATCCTTCCCCTTTAAGAATGATTGACAGTTGTTCTCTGCTGGAGTAATTGCTCTAAACGGCGGCCATGGTCCGGCCACAGAGGGAGGCCAGTGCTAATGAAGCCCTGACAAAACTTTCTTTCAAAAATCTTTTGTTTAAATGATAATGGCGTCCCACTGAAAGTGTCCCCTAATCCCTCTTACAACAAAGAAAACACACATGTATTAAGATGTGTTTTTTTTTCTCCTGTCAGTACCGCCAAATGCTGCTCAGTGTTCCATAACAGTGCTCCATAGAAAGTGAGCAACATAAATTTACATTCACTCCTCTGTGATAAAAGTTTTCTTTGTTTGTTTAAACGCCAGATAAACCAAACCACACCACGGCAGATGCATGTCCAGCGTCAGATTCCGTAATATTGTGACAGATAATAAGTTTGTTAAATAAAAAATAAAGCAAACACAAACAAGTGTTAAGATGTGCCACAGACGAGAATAATGACAGGTTTTTTCATTGTACTTAGCCTACTGACCCTAAACTTTCAACAATAAAGGGGCCCTACTGTAGAACCACTTTTGGCTTTAATTAAGAGTTATTTCATGAGCCTTTTTTTGTAAATCTGCAAACATAAACACCTTTAGTTAACCCCTTAAAATCCCAGGCTTATTACATACTAAGACTTATTATTCAGTAACTACCGGGACATCAATGCAAACTGGCTGAGCTACTCTCAGGGTATATAAGTGTGTAATAAAACTTTGGGCCCGCCGGCAGGTTCTGGCCATTTAAGGGGTTAAAATAGTAAAGAACCCCCAAACTATACACGCAAATACAGTATAGGTTCCATACACTCAAAAAGTCTAACCCTAACCCAAATGTCAAATGAAGTACCATATTTGAATTTTTTTGTGTAAAAGTTTGAACACCCGCTGGTCAAATGATATGCTGATTTTCTAAGCAAAAATAAGTGAACACATCCTCTACATTTAGGTTCTTTAAAGAACCTTTTGTAAATTGGTTCTATACAGTACCAAGAAGTGTTCCGCTCTCTTTACAAGCCAAACAACGTTTTTTTGGTACTATATAGAGCCAAGTTTGCTAATAGTATATGAGGAAAACATTTTGTTATTGGTTTTTTAAAATGATTCTTCATAGCACCAAAAAAGTTTCAGCTATTGTTACAAACCAAAGAACCTTTTTGGTATTAGAACCATTTTCACTAAAAGTATATAATGGAAAAATAGTATATGGTTCTTTAAAGAACGTTTTTTTTTTAATTGTCCTGCACAGCACCAAGTTCAGCTATTTTTATGAGCCAAAGAACCTTTTTTGATACTATATAGAACCATTTTTACTGACAGTGTATGATGGACACTATTACATATGGTTCTTTGAAGAACCTTTTGAAAAATTGTTCTATATAGCACAAAAAGGGTTCTGCTACTGTTAGAAGCCAAAGAACCTTTATGGTACTAGATAGCATCATTTTTGCTAAGAGTGCAATGAAATTCTGCTTTGAGGTGCCACCTTTGTTGACCAACAGACACGCTATTGATCAGATATCCCAGCAGACATATTGATCAGTTAGTCAGCTCTGATGTTGTTGCTGCTTTGTGTTGGAGATATGAAGCCCTAAGCTAGCACGCTTTTCTCTCTGCCAGCTGGCCTCGGTAAAGCTTTCGAAGGCTAACTGTCACAGAGATCAACCCTGGTCTTAAGGAGACTACAGTATTCCAGAGATTTCCCCCTGACCTTAATGAAATCTAAAGATAAGTTTAAGAAGCTTCACGGACGCCATTTGGGGTATCAAGCGTGCAAAAAGGGTGAGATATATGTTTACAAATTCATCTGATGCTTCAATGATTTATTCTCCTGACCCAAAGTTCTAGACAGCTCCTACTTGTAAGACGTTATCTTATTTATAATATCTTATCATAATATCTATTTTATATCCTACTTATAAAGAACTATGATATTTAAATGAATACTGCAAAATTATTCAACCTAATCTCTATTTACTGCATCTGTAAATAAGGTTAATCACCATAGGCCAAAATTGGGACACATTTTCCTATACTTAGAAAAAGAACAGAAGATCCAATGACTCAACATACTAACATAGTAATAGAATCAATGGGCAGATGCTGAAGCAACTTTCCACTGGCTTATTTTAGTGTTTTTTTTTTAGAGATTAGGTTAAAAAAAATGCTGACATATTCCTTTAATTTGACATTCAGTTTAATGTTATAGTAAAATGAGATTAACTGAAAATAACAATATTAGAATATAACATTAGCAATACTTTTTTTTTTTTTTTACTTATTTTAAATATACATCTGAGCTAAACTGAAATGTGTACCACTTTAAGAGACATATGTTCACACATCCACTGGTATTAATGGATTGGTATACCATGTGCTGAGAGTGATTATCAAGGAGACCAGGTTGAGCAGAGATAATCGGAGAACTATAGCCTCACGCCTCACCTAGACATTCACTCTTCTGAAAATGTCTTTATCGGTAAATAAAGTGTAAAAATATGTGAGCCAACTTCTTACAAGGACCGAGTCTCACATTTTCACACTCAGCAAAGGCCTTACTCGCTAAAAATGAATGGATTGGAAAATTTGGGGGAGCAGGGAATTATAAAGCTCAAAATATCATTCTTCTATCTGTTTTTTAAAATCAACAATGTGTTTCAAGTTGTGGCTGCATTAAATCATGGCCAGTGATATTCAGGATGCAGCACTGCTGTGTCTAATCCACTCATATCAGTGCAACACACACTAACACGCCATAGCACATCAGTGTCACTGCAGTGCTGGGAATGATCCGCCACTCAAATAATACCTGCTCTGTGGTGGGCCTGTGGGGGTCCTCACAACTGAAGAACAGGCTAAACGGGGGCTAACAAAGCATACAGAGAAACAGATGGACTACAGTCTGTAATTGTAGAACTATAAAGTGTGTCTATATGATTAGTGGGGCTGATAAAATGGACAATGAGTGTAGAAACAATGAGGTGGTTTTAATGTTATGGCTGATCAGTGTTTATGTAGCAATATCATGTTGCTAAAACAGGTTCAACTTCAACCTGAAGTTTAAAAAAATTTAACTGATGCAATGACATTTTATCAACTGTTACATCTCCCGCTCTGTCTGAGTTCCAGTGTTCAGTCTCACCGTGTGACTGTGGGTATGACACAATTGCTAACTATGCCACTTCAACAATCTGATAGGTTGCCACTTAGTTCATTTGCATAAATGAACGAAGGAGCAGTGTGATGAGGTGCATCAGCAGTTTGATGTGCAAATTATATGTATATCCTGTCAACTCTCGCCTCATGATAGCACAACATGACACATTGCGTTTGCTGTAGCTTATCTTAAAAAATCAAATGAAAAAAGTCAATCCTT